AGTCTTTTTGTGCGAGCCGTCAACTTTTTGCATTTTTGGGGGGAAATTAGGAAACCATTTTCTTAATGGGACTTTTAAAACCGTGGTACGATGGCAAAGGAATTGCGTTATTTCCTGTGCAAAAAGTTTTTTGGCGAAATTTCTAGATCATGGTTGCCAACGAATGCTTCTGAAATGTGTGGAAAAAAAACTCGATTAAAATGTATGCTAATTTTTTTTTTCAGGAGATGAGGAAATTATAAAAAATGACGAGGAAGAGGGCAAGCAGAAAAAGAAAATGCTGTTGCATAAAACATGCAGTATATTTTTGCGAAATGTGGCGCCAAACATCACTGTTGAGGAACTCGAAACGGTGAGTTTCATCGCATACTTTTTTGACTCATGGAATTTGAATCCTCATTATCTGCGAATTTACCGATCATAAACAGGCACTGTCTAGGAGGGAAGAACAATAGGTATGATGTGCGTAAGCTAAAATTAGTTTCATTACGAGGAAAAAGTTATTTGCGAATCTTTCGTCTGATGATTGGGATTTCATCGGATTAAAAGACCGAAAGATTTTCTTGGTTCTCCTCGAAATGGATTAGTAGAATAGACGGATTGGTCTAAGTGTCATGTGTGACAAGACATTTTACAATGCAGCAGTCTGTGTTTCATCCCTTAGCTGTAAGCACAGGCCGAACTTTGAAATTGAAGTGGGTTTTCATTGATGCGTCCTCCATTTTTTCGGATTTTCTCTGTTTTGTGCTACGTAGTCCACGTACATAGGAGACCAAATGAGAATTGCAAATCGAGGGAATGGAAAGAGACATTTTTTTAAATAAAAATACATTTCCCGTGTAATCTGGGCGATCTTTGAACGTACTGCTGGTAAGGTTTACACTGTTTCGCTTGCCCAGTTCTTGCAGCGCAAAACTGTGAAAACAGAAAAATTTAAATTCATGAAACAGTTGGTGTTCCTTTTTCGGTCTCTTTTGATTGGGAAACTATTTGTGTTTTTTAAATCGATGACTTTGCCAAGGCGCCAGATTTTGCGTGGTGATTTCGCGCACACTCACTTGACTCCTCATACCCCCTGTCATTTACCATTTAGCTGTTTGTATTGCTCATGCTGTTCATTCATAGGACTAAATCTCAGTTAGTGATGAATGATGATTGCAGGCCTGTAAACGATTCCCGGGATTTCTGCGTGTTGGATTGGCCGAGCCAGTGCCCGATCGTAAATTTTATCGACGTGGCTGGGTAACATTTCGAAGAGATGTCAATATCAAGGAGATTTGTTGGAATCTGAATAGCGTTCGTGTAAGTGTCTCAGAAATTTTAAAAATACAAACAGTGAATATGCCTGGCTAGGAGATTGGAAGAGAATGGGGTCTGAAATCTTCTGTGTGTTGACGTATGTGGTTTGTTTGGCAGTGTTGGCGTAAGTTATTCCTAAGTAAGTTATTCTGAAGCAGTATTTTATATCCGATTATTCGTTGTAATTATGCAAGTTATGCTGACGGGTTTAGCACAGTTATGAGTCTCACTGATCTCATTTTCGTGGCCGTTGAGTTCCATTTCGTCCGGGGGAAGTTGATAGAGACGCTGGATTCCAGTTGGCGGGATGCCAGGAAATGCAAAAAAATGTGATGTGAGGTTGTATTGCAGATAAAGGATTGTGATCTGGGAGCAGTGATTAATCGCGATATCGCTCGTCGAGTACGATCGGTGAATGGTGTAACGGGGCATAAACAAGTTGCACAGAATGATTTGCGACAAGCAGCCAAGCTTACAGCTATTTATGATAAAAAAGTAGATTCTTGAACAAAATTCACTGATTTTTAGTTTTTGCCTTCTCAGCTTTCTACGAAGAGTAGCACAAGCAGCACAACTGGTCTCGGCATCTCACTTATATTGCTAACATGGGCAATTTTTAAAAATTGGCCCAGCTGGCACCATACACGATTTGCGAAAATCTTTTCCTTGCTATGACAGGTGGGGCAGTCCTCTTACGCGGTTACGGCGCCTACTAAGGGGGTAGATTTAAGATCATTAACACCCACTTGAACGGGGAACATCCTCCTATGATTTCAGCGTTCTAGCTTCTAAAATAACCGAGTTTTGAACTTGTGCCACAAGAAATTTGGCGTCCTCTTACGCGGTTACGGCGCCTACTAAGGGGGTAGATTTAAAATCTTTAGCACCCACTTGAACGGGGGACATCCTCCTATGATCTCGGCGCTCTAGCTTCTAAGTCTCACACTGAGTGGCGGCAATTTGAATGTTACAAGTGGGAATAAGGCGGGGAAAGGGGGAGGGAGAGAAGTGATCCCATTGGGGGCAGTGGAGTTGGGCTGGGATAGGTGGATTTAAGGGCTATGTGGCGTAGATGCTTTACCGGTTGGCTAGTTCACGTACATTCGGAGGGGAGGAGGGTGATGGATGGAAAGGAGGAGAAAGTGTGCTACTGGTTTTCGTCACGAAATACTCGGGATAGGGAAAGAGCTGAAATATTGCTTGCTTCCAGAGTGTTCTTACAGTAGTGATGGAGGGGAGCTCAGATACTGCTTTGCAGGCATGATTTGGAGAAAGGTAGAGAAGGGGAGCGAGGATGACAGTTTACAGTACTTTTTGTCTTTTCTTAGGATCCGCATTATAAAAATGCCTAAAAGCAATAAAGAAATTCTTGTCGAATCGTTGCTGGCGTGCTTTTTTTTATGATGTGCGATATTTTTCAGAATGGTCTATATCAGCCGGAAAATGCCGAAGAACGTCAGAGTAATTTTGAGCTGGATATTGTAGCGCAAAGTGAGAATCCGTTGCTCAAAAATCTTACCGATTTCTTGATTGAGGAAGCAAGTGCCGAAGAAGAGGAGCTACTTGGCATTTCAAACGGTGCTTTTATTTTATGCTTTTTTATTTTTCACTTCGGAAATGCAGTGATATAGCACCATGGATTTTCGTATTGTTTTTATGATCTCATATTCTTCCCTCTCTCCTCTTGCGTAATTATTGCCATGCTGGCGAGCCTGGTGGTGCAACTTTCAGGTACAGCTTGGAGGTTCGACTTGGTTAGTGGTGCAACCAGCATAGATGGATCCGGGGGAGGGGGAGCGATTCACGAGATTTTTTGCCTCCCCTCCCCTCTTCCTTCTGTTCGTCGATGCATTGAAGGCCCCATTCTCTCCCTTCGCCCCCAGT